TTCACAAACTAAAAAAAAAAATTGAAAAAAAAAAAAGAATAATCCAAAAAAAACCAAACAAAAAACAAGCCAAAAAAGCCCCAACAGCTTGTAACAGCTGCCGCAGAGAAATCTTTATGCTAATGGAATCTGACAGAATCTACATCAGATATCTACACATAAATTTGAAAAAAATAAAAGAGAAAAGAAAGAAAGAGACTAAGACTTCTGGGTATCTGGGTAGGTGGTGTTTTATGTATACAAGCTTTTTGTACTTACTCTCACTCCTGTATTTTATATCCTTTGATACCTTGGAGTAAAACATTTGTTGAATGCACAAGCTTATTGATATGGTCAAGGGCTAAATGGAACTCTTTCTGTTTGAGTGGTTAAACATGGAACTTAGTGTTCCTGCTGTGTACAAGCTGCAGAGAAAATTCTGCTGAAGGTGCATGCATGAAGTTGCTTAGAAAATTGATGTATTTCAATGTCTCGCATTCCAGTCTCTTGTATCAGACTGATGAAAATGTAGGGAATAATAGACTGCTTAGCTGTAGAAATAAGGCAGTCAATCACATCTTGTTTTTATGTATAAGAGTGTTCTGATCCCAGGACACATAGTGTTGGTGCAGGAAGCTGGCTGTAGTTACTGACCATCATCCTGGGCCATTCAGTGAGGATGCTGACCTCAGAGTCACTATGCTTGAGAAAATGGTGTTTTTTAATTCCTGTCTGCAAAAAAGAAGCCTGGAAATTTGTGGATCAAAAGAAATCATGTGCTGAGGTTTCCCAGGTTGAACTGGAATTAGCGGGAATGGGAAAAGGATTAAGAAAGAAAAGTCTGAACTTGCTCAATATTCCTTGATAATCTCAATAATGACCACTGTATGCCTAGAAATTCTGAGTGTTACTTCTCCAAGTGATCCTGTAGTTTTCTTGATAGACTCAAAGTTGCTGAAAGGGCTAAGACATTTCCTTTCCTCTAGCACTATGAAAGTGTATGAGCTGGATGTGTGGTTAGCGTGGTGACAAAGGATAATAGGAAGCCATGCAACAGGGCAATAGAAAGGGAACAACCTTTCACACAGTGGCAGTAAGATGGCTATATTTCAAGACTTGAGTTATTTTGAATGCTTCTGAAATCCATGGATCTTCTCTCTAAACTTCTTAGTAGCATCCCACTAGAAAGTTTCAAGATCCTTGGAATACAATTCCTGCAAGAACCAGTTTCTTTTTGATAGATTAGGCCAAGTCTCACTTTCAAAAATACATTCTAGCAAGAGAAAAACAGAACTCTTTCAATTGCCGATTGCCCAGCTAAGCCAAAAGTGGCAGATTGCAACCTTAACACGGCATTGGAGAACAAGAGTTCCTGTGACAGTAAAGAAATCTTGTAAAGGTAAGGAATCTTGTCTTGTCCCTTAGAAGCTAGAATAAACTATTAGAAACATCCTTAGGACTTCTTCTGTTTGTCCTTTAGTTGGACGCAATATTTAATATCAGCCACAATCTCTTCTTCAAGACATTCACAGGCATGTTTTTTTTTTTTTGTTTGTTTGTTTGTTTGAGCTTTAGGATCTATTCCCTAGTTCCCTTCTGCTTACACCAACGTAATATAGAAATAATGTATTCAAGCTTACTGAAGTTGCATCACACTAAAATTGATGCTTGGAGTAAACAAAGCTACCAGTGTGAATGTCAGAAGAAAATTCAGGTATTCTTCCTGTCCAGTTTTATTATAAGAGCAGCAGAAGGGCTTGAGCTGTGCTAGCTGCCAGCAGCCATAAAGTATCAAGATTAGTTTGCTCTGCATTTGTCTTAGGCTGCTTACATGCAGATGTCAATATCTGCCCCTTCATTAATCCAGAATCCTAACATATGTGGAGAACTCCTATTAAAATCCACATGATCTTATAAAGCTGGATGTCAATTTAGATGATTTTTATTTATTAGATACACTTAACTTACCCTGAATTCCTTGGGTCTGGAATGAACTTTGTGTCTGCAGTGGGATGGCACCATTCAGAAGAGCTTAGCTCAAGGAAAGCTGAGGAGAAAAATCAAAAATTCGTGTCAATACCTACCAAAACTGAACCAAGCAGTCACACTCCAGACTCCCTCTCTTCCATTTCCAAAACTGGAGGAAAGAGAAGCTCTTAAATGTTAAATGTTAAAAATGTTAAATGTTCTGAGCATTTAACTTGTAATACTGTAGGTCATGTTTCACTGAACAGTATAATTTGAACTAAGATAGTTTTTTTCTGTACTATGTGGTACTGCATGGTTGGGTAGATGCTAGCATATCACTGATCAGTGAATTCCTTTTGCAGTTATTGATTTGTGCCAGCATGGCAATTTATGTTCAAGGATGTGGTTCTACTTCCATGTCCACCATTGTCAAAATCCCCCAAAGCTCTGCTGAAGTCAGTTTAGTGATATTGGCATAAAATCTGTAAGTGGGCTTAAGCCAATGATGTTTAATTTTTTCATGTTATGAAATTCCAGCTAATTCCCACGGTTCTCTGAGACTCCATTCACACACCCATTTTGAAAGGCTGTCCAGAAAATGCTGAAATGATGCTGGAACAGTGTCTACCCATGTGCCATCTGTTGGCCGTTAACTATACTTCTTCAGGGGACATGCAGTTTCTAAGTGCCTGAACCAGAAAGATGATGCGTCCTAAAATACTCCATCTGTATGCAAACCCTCAGATTAATACCTCATGCAAGGAGAAGGACTCTATAATGAAAGCTTTTCCCTCCATCCCACCCTCACAAATATTTACTTGTCCCAGAGCAGTTTACCTTCACTTTTTTTAGGAACTCACAGAATATGTAAGACTATTGGTTAATGGTTCATCTCATGAGTAGGTATACAGATTGGTCTTAAAACGATGTGAGAAGCATGATCTTGCTTATCCTTAAAGGATAAAGCAATTAAGCATTATTACAAAAGCAAATGATGCATATTCAGGCTTATGCCCTCCAGACCTGTGAAGAGGAATCATTTGAACTAGGGGAAGTAGCTTTGCTCCTGCATCACTGGGCTTCTTATGCAGGCACCAAATGTGTTAAGCTCTCTGTAATTTCACATTGATTCTCTAGCTTGCTGTCACCGAATCCCAGCAGGTTACCTCATATTATCTTGAATTAGACTGTGTCTATGATACCAGTGTTAGGTGGAATACTGGTCTCACGTAGTAGTCATTGGTTTGTGCTATTCATTTGGATAGATAGATCTGTTGTAGTTTCAGCCCAGCTTGGATGTCAGTGGGAGACATAGAGGACGAAATATTCAAAATGGTTTGGAAACAGTACATGCAAAACCTTTTCAATGTCCTACAGAATTTCTACATTATACATGCATATTGCCTAAATGCTGTCCAAGTTTACTGTGTCCTTCAAACAAGTTTATTATCCAATCCACTTAGAGTTCTCCTAGAAAACAAAGGCTTCCTGGTGGCACTTGGGCTGTGAGTTTCTCAAATGCTACCAGCCAAACTGTTTGTTTCCATTCCATTGCAGTAGTAAAAGTTTTCCAGAATGTTTCTGTGGGGGTGGTGGTTCTGCAGGTGACATCTGCACTCCCAGCCTCTTCTTCACTATGACTTTCTGCACTGATGTGCAGGTATCCAGGAGATACTGTCTCAGAGACAGTTTAAAACTGAAAATTAGCCTCATGACCTCAGAGGTACTAAAGAGTCTTTAGCACTTGTTGATATGGAAATAAATTTAGCTGTGGTGATTTGATGATGTGAAGACCACATTTTAAACACAGATTTTACTTCCTATCTCCTTAAGTTTCTATATAATAGCTGTTCTATTCTCTCACTGGCATGCGTGCATTTAGGTGATCAATGCAGACTATGTATGGTATTGATTTCTTCTTGTCTTTGAAATCTATAGAGCTCTTCTTGATCCATTGGACTGAGCACTTCACATCCATTTACTGCTAACTCAGTCGTCTATTTAATACTTGTGTCAATTTGTTAAAACTCAGATTCTAAATGTAAACACATTGCTTATAGAATGAACTCTGAATTATTTTGTTGTAATGTGGGTGTACACTCTGCTGCAATGAAATACTATTATTTGCAAATTTCACCTTAGCCCATTGTATGAAAGCTTGGACCACATACATATTATGTATCTATCTAATGTACAAGAGATATTTTGGCAAAGACGAGGCTACATGGCTCAACATGCCAGTTCGCAATTTTAAGCTACTCCAAGCTCAATTTTTTGTTTGCTTTCTTTCATTTTTTATTGGCAAGTTTATTTTTCCTCCTTAAAGTGAGATGGTTGTCTCAAGTGGTGTTTTATGCAGTTCTCTTCATCTGCTTTCCTTTGTAACATATTCCATACGTTTACTATCTTCCCTTTTTGCTGTTAAGTAGCCTAGAGCATTTTCCTCACCAAAAGCTGCGTAATTATTTTCCCAGGAAACATCATTATTCCAAAAAAAAAAAAAAAAAAAAAAAGTTATAGAAACAAATAAAACACATTGCCAAAATGGTACTGCTAAATAGCAAAAAACAAAATGCTCATTATTTTTGATGACAGGGATATTGAAAAGAAAAAACATTGTTTAAAAATAACCAATTCTTCAATAGTTTTGTGGGAGGATGTTCAATTAAATGGAATGTAGTTTTCCATTGAGCTCATTTAATCTTGGATTGAAACTATGGGTTCAAATATTATTATTCTTTTTTTCATTTCATTTTTTTTTCATTTCACTTTTTTTCATCTATATTTTGTGTTCCATTCCTGGCATTGCAGTGATGTTTGTTACTATTTATATTTTACGTTGAGGGCTTTTTGTAAAGCTTTACAAGAATGCCAGATGTTACATTGGAAGCTCAAAGATCAAAATCAGATCACAAATCATGACGTACCATGTACCAAAAATCCAGTTGCATCACTCTTCATCACTTCCTCTATTGGCTTTCCTTTTTTTTTTTTTTTTTTAACTAAATAGTGGGTAGAACTGCAATGTCTTACCTGGTATGTTTACTTTGCAGACTCAGAACAGAGCACTGGGTCAGACACAGAGGTGTTGGCAGAAAGAACATCCTGCTCTTTTGGCTCCCATTCTGACCTTACATCTGGTGGATCGGGTCCTCAGCCTCCTCCACCTTCATCCATGGAAGAGATCCAAGTAGAACTGCAGTGTGCTGACCTCTGGAAAAGATTTCATGACATTGGGACAGAGATGATCATCACAAAAGCAGGCAGGTAAGATACCTCTGACTTTCTGTGTAGTTAAAAAAAATCAGAACAAAACAAATAAACAACCATTTTCTTTCACGAAAAGCCCATAAATATCTGAGGGAAGAAATGTAAATGATTGTCAGATTTTCACAGCTGCATTTCCCACAAGCTTTATGAAGTTTGATAAAGTGATTCCATATTTCTGCCTGAATCAGTGGCTCCAAAGGGTAAATGGCAACTGTAGGAAGCAGTTGATGGTAGTCCTTCCTAACAGCAAATAAATTAAGAAATGATCCTTTTGTTGCTGGCTGCACTGAATTTGAGACGAGTTATGAATTTGGGGATGAGCCGTTAGAATTTCAAGTTCTGTTAGCACTTCATGACCCAGCTGATTTAATCTTATGCTATAATCTATAGTCTAGTTTAAACTTACCTTTACTATGAAATAATGTATTTCTGCAATTCTGAGTAGATAAATTCTAATGATTTCTTCTATTAATGAAAAGCAGGTTTAGTGTTTACCTCTGCTATTGCAAATGATTTCATGTCAGCTTGGCTAGGAAGAGTCACTAATAGCCAGATTAAAAACAAAAACAAACAAAAAAAACCCACGCTGAAACTCACTCTGCCTTCCTGTTCTTTGAGCGTCTCATTCCTGTCTATTGTTAAAACAATGGCTAGAAATCTGTTCACCAAAGCACAACCTGAAATTAGCTGCAAATCTCTAGATGTCACAAGGTATTAAATATTCTAACCTTTTAGGCACGCTTGTGATAATATAATTTTCCTTTCCTCCACTTAAGGATATTTTAATTGCGATTAATATTGCTGTTAGGGAAATCAGCACCATGGACAGGGCTGTCCAACGGGAGAGAACCGCGCGGCTGTTTCTGCACCTACCGCAGAAACGTGGAGGGCAAGTTTTCCATAATTCTTTTTCTCTTTTTCTTTTCTTTTTTTCTTTTTTTTTTTTTTTCCTTTTTTTTTTTTTTTAAATTTTCTTGAAGTGTGGGGAAGGAGTTCATTCATTCTTTTATGATAAATGGAGGGAATAGGCTTAAACAGCAGCACAGCAAAATGAGCAGAGCTTGTTGATATGAAGATCACATTTCTGAATTAAGTAGTTGAACTCTCTGGGAACTCAAATGACTGCACGGTAATTACAGCGTCTTTAGAAAATAAAAAAATCAGTCAAAAAGTTGCAACATCATAGCCACTGCAATTTCACAAATTGTTTAACACTTGTTCTCACAGAAGCCTGGGGAATTTTGGCAGAGGTTCTAGAGAAGAACGTTTTCATGGAAAAAAAACAAACAAACCAAAAATAGGCTGAAATGTTTGGATCTGTAAAAAAAAAAAAAAAAAAAAAAAAAAAAAAAAAAAGAGGAATCAGAGCTAACAGAGGTGTTAAAAAAGACAGAAACACTAACTTTATTTAAGTCATCCAAACTGATATGTATTTATATATATATTTTTTTAGAGAATAGATGCAGGAAAGCCTGTAAGAGATGTAAGAAATATTTCTCAGATTTAATATCTGTAAACCACAAATGGCATTATCAAGTGGCAAGTTAGAGAATACTTGCAAGCTCCAGTCTTGACAGTTCTTCCACTAACAAAAACTGATGGACCACAGTGCAAACATACAGCTACATACCAAGCAAACCATGCATTCTTTATAATTTTAAATCATATTCTTTATCTTTGAAAGATGATGTGTATTGTTCCCTTAGTTTTTGTAGTCATCAAGCTCATCATTGACTGTACCCACAAAATCTATGTAGCTGCAAATCTCTATGTAGGCCACTCCAAATGTAGTACCTCCTACTTATTTCCCTGGAAACTACAACAGATACAAAGAATACAATAACACAATTTGATAATGACAAAATTGTTTTTCAACACTGCCCATCATTAGCTGTGCATTTTCACAAGAAATAAGCAAGACCCTGCATGTCATAGGGACCGTAAAAATCAGCAATAGCAAAGGTGACACATCGTTTCACGGATGCTGTGATGACTCTGTTGCTAGGAAAATGTTGCCCATCTTTCACTGGCCTGAATAGATGGAATTCAGAAGGCATCAAATGTGAATTATACTGTGAGTGTAGTAGGACAGTCCCACCAAGACTGACAATATATTCCGTGAACTTCAGACTGGTATGGGCCTGGCAATGTCATGTTACAAGAGAAAGGCTGTCTTCTTTTCTGGCCTGACTCTGGAAGTTTGACCTTTCAGCTTTGTCAGTGGCACAATGTAGCAGTCAGTGATGGATACAAGGAAATCCAGAAGCCTCACCCCTTTCCTAACCCAAAAGACAGTGCACACCACTTTACCCACTGAAGGCTGTATCTTGAACTTTTTCTTCCATGGGGAATTTACGTTGCCACTCCGTGGACTGCAGTTTTTACTTTATCTTGTAGTTGTGATACCACACCTTGTCACTGATAATGATGTGATCCATAAATCTGCCACCTTCAGCCTCATAGGAGTGTTCAATAGAGACATATTTGCATAAGATGTTCTTTCTGTTCTTGTGTGAGCATTCACGAGACCCACCTGCCACAAACTTTGTTATATTCCAACACTGCCACCATCATTTCCAATGCACTGAAATAGATATTCAGCTCCATACACAGTTCCCTGACTGTATTCTGCTGATTTGTGAGGATGAGCTGATTGAGTTGCTCTTCATTTTGTGGTGAGACAGCTGTGTGTGGCTGTTCAGAACACAGTTTGTCTTTCTCATCACCATTGCCGCAGCTGAAACAAACCACTCACTGCCTGACTGTTCTCACATCCTCTATTTTGTCTCCATAAGCCTTCAGCAAACACTGATAAATGTCAGTGGGTACAATTTTTTTTCTTCATGGATGAATTCAATGACTCATCTTTGCTTCATCTTCGTTTCCATGTCAGATACCATTTTGCCAGACTGCCTCTCGTCCGCCATCTGTCACACTGCAACAAAACATAATGAGATATTGGCACAAAAGTCCAATATAGACTACCACGTCACCAACCTTCTCCTCTGACATCATAGGCCAACATAATAAAACAGGAGGCATTGCTTTCAGAGCAGTCTTCATGTATAGCTACTAAACGTACATGTCTTTACCATTTAATGTTATCTCCAGTAGTAATATTAACAGTATTGGAGGAGATTTTTTTTTGCTGACCACATTTTAAAGTTAACCATTGCAAAGCATAAAGAAGATCTGGTCAATTTGTTTACCTAGGACATCTGTTTACTGTGACAGTTCTTACAGATTTGAAGAAATATACTAGTTAAATATTTAATGTTTTTGATTAGACATTCCCTTTTTCAGAGAGGATGTGCCTGAGATAGATGAGAACTGAATTGTAATTCTTCACATGGGTTCCATGATATATTGTGCATCCCATAGATTAGATAGCATGATTTCTGACAAAGAGAGACATGAATTGTTATTATCTGCTGAGGATTACCAATTACTTATTGAATTTGAGAGATGTACAGCTTCCTTCTCCAGGGAAGACTGTTCTCCTTTTTGTCAGTTTTCCTCCGGAAACCATATTTGAATCCTGCAAGGCCTTCTTGTTTTGGAAGCCCTTATAATTGCAGACTTGGTTGCCTATAAGTACAGAAGCTCCCTAATTTTCTATGGCTGGTAAGACTTTGCTTGTCTCCTGCCTGTTTTCACTAAGCCTTTTTGCTCTTACTGATTAATGCTAGTTTCTAGCCTCCATTCTCATTTCAAACATATTTCTAGAGGTATATCCTGCTTACATTAGGCCTAATACATTTTCTAGCTTTCAAACTCCACTTCCAGTCACATTTAAATCTGCTTTGTCTTTTCTTCTTTCTTGAAGTTGTATTTATAGCTGCCTATTTTTTGATCTATTTCAATAAATTGACTACAGTCCTCTTAGAATTTTCCCTTCTTTCTTTCTACCAGAATGTTGCTACTCAGACTTCATAAGATTCTTATAACAAGAGTCCTTTGTTCTTTTTGCAAAAGATGCAAATGACTTTCTGTCAGCTGCAGTGCATTCAAATCTACAATCTCTTTTATCTCCTTTTGGTTAGAAAGGGAGCTTTAAACTCTACAAAAATTTACCTTAAGCCACAAATAATCCTGATTTTAAGCAACTGTTCCTAAAAATTTATTTTACTCTTTTTCTCTACTCTCATTCACTATGCATGCACGTATACTAGCAACATCAGCACAGGAATCTGAACTTTTCTCCACATTTCCTAGCTGAAGACCATGGCTGAGCTGCACGGTTTGCAGTTGCACAGTGCATAGAAGTGCTGCCTGAATGGGAAAGCAATGAGCAATTATTACTGGGGGAATGCATGTTTACTACAGTGAATGTTTTTAGTCCTGCCCTAGGAGGGAAACATTATGTACAGTTCATGGGGCTGATTACACAAGGGTGACCAAGCACACAGGCATAAATGGAAGGTGTTCCCCCAGGGATGCAAATAATATCTTTAGCAAATTTGGGATTTCTTCTCAGAAATGAGGGTAACAATCACAGGAGTCTTATCACAGCTACCATATCTGTACTGAGGGATGCTCATTCTAGGCTTAATAATAAGAGAGGAATTAAAAAACAGTAGTGAATGCAAGAGGTGGCCTTGCTCCTCTGTGCCTCCTGATAAGTTAAGTGGTATTTCGACTGGATTTTCTTTGCCTTCCTTATACTATCAGCCAGAGTCATATGAAACACATACTTGGGGTTGTTTACACTACCAAATGATTGTTCTGTTTCCAGTGGAAGGAAGCAAGAGTCCCATGGTGCTCTTCAGTAAGAGGCAGCAGCAGGGATTTAGTTGTGGAATTCTGATGAAGCACTCATGTCTTCCCTTCCTGTCCCTCACTTTAACTCCTCACAAGTTTGTTTTTATAAACAAATATACATTTGGCACCAGTCTTGAAATATAAAGAATTATGAGGTATAAAATAGCTATAAATTCAGGTTACCCTGTAGACTTCTCTCACTTATACCACATTCCACAAGAGTCCTTCAGTCACTTCTGTTTATTTCTGCCTTTTCCATTTTCTCCTCTCCAGGGATGATGTAGCAGTGCTGCTGGAGATCTGCTGTGATAGTCTCAGGCCACATCCTTATGTCAAAAAACCCAAGTTGTTTTTACACCCACAGAAAATCATAACAGTAATACTTTACAAAACTTTAAAAATATACTTAAACCTTAGAGAAAACGGTGGGTTCAGTCGAGCTTTCTCTGGTCATTTTAGAGATTAGCCTCTAAGCCTGTTGAATGGTCTGTGGTAACATTTTACAAGGTATTTCATAAGCAAACAACCCCATAAGCTATATTGCAACCTTACACGGGGTTGCAGTGTTGGAGAGAGTTGCTGAGAACACACAGCATTCAGTTTTCCCAATGTAGTGTGCAGACTTAGACCCAAGGAGACTCAGATTTAATCCTGGATTTGTCATCAACCTTCTGAAATACGACCCACCTCTTAAGCTACTTCCAAGCCACCTCTATCCAATTAAGAAGAGTGGATTCATAAAATGCCACATTCTGTACCCATTTGTTTTGGCAGATTTAATGAGCCATTGTGATAGAAACAAGGTAATGCCCTCAAGACACTGAAGATTATCCACTGTTTCTTTTTCTCCCCCTTAACTGTTTAGCTAAGTGTGCAAACTGTGCAAGCTGTTAGCTAAGTTTAGCAAACTCACACCATCAGCTGCACAAATCTACTCTCTCCTTGAAGGGTTTCTGTAGGCAATTTTTCTGACACTTTTATATCTCTCATAACTCTAGCTGCGTGCTGGCAGCTGTGATGTGATGTTCTCCTCATCTCTGCCATGAAAGCCCTTTTCCTAGGCAACTTCAGTTACTAGTATATCAGAACTTTGCCTGACAATGGCCTGAAATGGAAAAGCTGTGGGCAGGGTGAATGCTGAGCATTGAGCTCTTCCTTCCCACCCTCTTCTCCAAATGTATAAATGTAGTGCAGATGGGAAATAATTAAATAATTTCTCACAGTCATAGTACAGTTTTTGAAAGGCATTTGGAAATGTTCACAAACATTTCAATTTTTCCCTCCTCCAGGCTCTATTGCTAATACTTCAAGAAATAAAAATATTGGGTAGATACGTAAATCTTCTCAGACATTTCACTACTCTTCACTAAACACAAGACAAAATGTCACAGTGGTTTCTAAGGAGGCCTCTGGAAACAGTAGACAAATATTTATTTCATACATCTTTTTGTAATTCTGTCATCATCATTTTAATACTATTTATTTCCCCTTTAATATCCTTCCATACAGCTTACTCTCATTCCATATACAGGCATTTACCTGTCAGAGGATCAGCATGTAACTACACATCAGTATTTAGTATTTTCAGCTTCTCTCAACAAAACTCCATATCTTCTGGGCAAAAATAGTACAATTGAATAATACTCTCTTGTAGGATCTCAGCTCAAGGTTTGTTGTGCACATCTCCAGAACAGTGACCAGTGCACAGCACAGCTCTTCTGTGCTCAGACAAGAGAAGAAAGACCAGGAAATAATTTTTGTTGTAGAAGCTTCATAACTTACCTATTGGAAGAAAAAAATTTAAGACATAATGGGATTAAACATCACATAAAAGATGACTTTTACAAAAAGGTTTTAAAAAAATAGTGCTTAGACCTCAGGAAAGCCATAGTGATACTGCCAGAGTTTCTGTTAATTCTGGAATATAGACCTAATAAGCAAATTCATTTAAGGCATATTTTTCTTAAGTGTCTCTAAACATAAATGCAAAAGACTCTTTTGTGATGATGGTTTTGCTTTAGATATTTTCCCAGTACAATTAAAATCCATATTGAAATGTAATTTTCTCGGAAGTAAACATTTGGTGTGACGTGAGACCATAGTGCTAGATGGAAAAAAACAAACAAACAAAAAAACCAACCCAGACTATATATACTGCTCATATCTATACTGAAGCACCAAGAGAGGAGCCTGGACTTGAGGGACATTTCATCGGAGGGCTGACTACTAGGAGTCAGAAATAGAAAGTGCTTGACTGAGAGTGCCTTACTTTCACCCACAGGCTTTTATCCTGCTATTCCTTTTCTTAAATGGAAAAACAAACAACCAAAAAAGCCACAACTAACAAAAACAAAAAATAAAAACAAAGACGATTGAAACCATTGCCAGAGCAATCTTTGCTATCCATTCCAAGTCCAGACGTGTTATGCCAAGAAGTAATCTTTGTAAAGTAGCATGATCCTGGTGTCAGAGACAGATCAAAGAGCTCATTCAGCTTCCTTATTCACCATTTCCTCCCTTGTTTCTACCCTTCTTTTCCTAGGAGAATGTTTCCAGCCATGAGGGTGAAAATCACAGGTTTGGATCCTCACCAGCAGTACTATATTGCTATGGACATTGTACCAGTGGATAACAAGAGATACAGGTAAGCTTTTAAGGCATATGGATAGGAACAATTTTGTGATAGATCAGTGTCAGTTAGAGCCCAGGAAAGGCAATAGTGTATAATGAGCAATTATGCACCATTGCAAAAGTATGCTGGAGGAGAGACTGTTGGTTTAAGACTTTGAGTTGATCAGAATTTTAAGACAAAAGCCCAGAGGTTTAATATACTTCCTTGCACTTTTTTTTTTTTTTTTTGAGATCTGAGTTGTATAGATCACTCACTGGATAAGGATTTGGTTTTACTCAAAGAGTTGCAGTCAACAGCTTGATGTTCAGGTGGAGATCAGTGACAAATGGTATACCTCAGGGGTGGGTATTGGGACTGGCTCTATTTAATATTGTTATCGGTGACATGGACAGTGGGATTGACTGAACCCTAAGCACTGAACTTTTTGGCACAGTCAACATGCAGGAGGGAAGGGATGCCATCCAGAAGGAATTTGGCAGGCTTGAGAGGTGGGTATGTGCAAACCTCCTGAAGTTCAACAAGGACAAGTTCAAGATCCTGCACCTGGATTGGAACAGTCTGAAGCACAGATGCAGGCTGAATGGAGAATGAATTGAGAGCAGCCCTGAGGTGAAGGACCTTGGGGTATTTGTTGCTGGAAAACTTGACCTTCGCTGGCAATGTGCATTTGCAGCCCAGAAAGCCAATCATCCTGGGCTGCATCAAAAGAATCATGGCAAACAGGGTGAGGGAGATGATTCTGCCCTTCTACTTTACTCTCCTGAAACTCCACTTGCAATACTGTGTTGAGCTGTGAGCCCTGTGGCATAAGAAGGATATGGATCTATTGAAGTAAGATCAGAGGAGGGTCCAGACCTTGATCAGAGGGATGGAGCACCTCTCAGGAGAAACTGGGTTGTTCAGTCTAGAGAAGAGAAGGCTGCAAGGAGACCTTTATAGTGACATTCCAGTACCTAAAGAGGGACTACAGGAAAGCTGGGGAGGGACTCTTTAGCAGTAGTAAAAGGGGTAATGGTTTTAAACTAGAAGAGGGAAGATTTTTATTAGATATTAGAAAGAAATACTTTACGATATGGGTGCTGAGGCACTGGAACAAACTGCCCAGAGAAACAGTCCCTTCCCTGGAAATGTTCAAGGTCACGTTGGGGCAACCTGGCCCCTGCTCATGACAGTAGGGTTAGAACTGGATGTTCTTTTAGGTCCCTTCCAACTAAAACCATTTTTAAATTTTATTATCTTGCTCTGTAGTTTTGAATAGCAGTCAGTTTTTATTTGGGGTGGTCTCCAGCGTGCATTTCAGAATACATGTTATTAACAACCTCTCTGAGGGGCATAGTAATTGGAGTCTGGAGCTTCTAAAGCTATCTCAGCAAAGAAGGAATGGGAAACCAGGCACTGAACAGAGAAGGGCATCTCCAGTCTACCCTGAGCTGAATGGTGTCATTTTTAGTGTTGTCCAGCACAGCATGAACATAGACTTAAAGTACTGAACTGATGAGAAACACTGTTGAATCTCAACTAAATGATGAGATTTCTCTAGTTTTAATGGCCTTTACACCCTAGAAAAGTACTCTAGAAAACTCATGGTGCTCTGCATCACAGAATACGACCCAGACAGAAATTATTTATCTATACTCAGAAGACCCTTGAGAGCAACTCTTTTCCCAAAGCAGTCTTGACCACTCCACATTCCAAAGATTCAAGAACTTTTCTTGAAATGCTAAATATTTCATTTTTCTCTCAAAGTGTTTCTCAGGAAAGTAATTTTTTGGAAGCGTCAAAATAGTTCCCTAGACCTAGTTAGTTATTTTGTCTCTTTCCTTTAATGTAGTTCTGAGAGTATTTAACTTAAAAATTAGTAGATTGTCTTATATTCTGTTTCTGCCCTTGCCAGCTAATGCAGCCACATAGAATAAACTAGCACTGAAAGGAATGAACTTTCTTTTCCATTTCTTTTAAAAATACAGGAAATGAATCACAGTAAGTAGGTAAGGACTGAAATAGCTTCACAGAGCCACAGAGCTGAGTAGAGACCCAAGGAAGGGCAGTGCAGGGAAGAATTAAGAGGTGTTAGCAGGACTGTTTGTGAAATACTTTAGACTGCAGGAGCCACAGAACACAAAGAAAGAGCTAGGAAGAACTGTAGGACAGTAATTTTTGGCACACACAGGATAGTTAGGTCAGGAGCACAGAAGATAATTTAATTTTTTTTCCTCTGATCCTGACATTGGTTATACTAAATGGAATTTTGTATTTCACTGTATTTTAAATGAGAAATTCTTTTTTATCACTTGTTCTGGTGGTATCCAGAGGATTTTGGCCTTTTTGGATGAATACATGTTTTGTACAGTCTGGCATGGCAGTCAGTGCAGATTTCCAGAGATCACAGATCATTTCTCAATATTCAAAACTCACCTGAATACGTTCCTGTGTGACCTAATCTAAGTGTTACTGCTCTGGCAGGGGGACTGGACTAGGTGATCTTTCAAGGTCCATTCCAATCCCTGACATTCTGTAATTCTGTGATTCTGTGATTTTCAGAGAGAGCATTATTTACTATTTTTTGTCCTCCTACTCTGGCTCAGAGAGGGTTAAGGAGTTAAGGAGGCACATGTGGCAGAGTTTTACAGGGAAAATAACTGTGAAGGTGGTTTTAATAAGGAATAAAGCCTGAACAAGTGGCTCAGAGGTAATCTGGCTTTCATTTAGAAGGTAGGAGGTTGCAATAAAGCACATTCCCCCCTGACTGCAAATGAGTGCTTGGAGCGTGTGCGGTAGGGTGGCAGGAGAGGGAGAACTCTGGAAATGTTCTTCCAATGACTGAGTGACAATTTTTCTTAGCCATCACCTCTTCCTCTTTCAGGTATGTGTACCACAGCTCCAAATGGATGGTGGCTGGCAATGCCGACTCTCCAGTGCCCCCAAGGGTTTACATCCACCCGGACTCATTGGCTTCTGGAGACACCTGGATGAGGCAGGTGGTCAGTTTTGACAAGCTCAAGCTGACCAACAATGAACTTGATGATCAAGGACATGTAAGTCACAAGCTAATCTTAGTCCATAGTTTCCCAGCCTTGCTCATCCCAGAATCAGAAGAGAGTGATGCTGTTGCTTTAATGCCCCCGTCCTGGTGGCCACACATGTAGACACTTCCCATGGTTGTAGAGATTTTTTTCCCTACTTCAGTGCTATTCCTCAGATGGTTCTTGTCCCTTTAAAGCAACAAGCCCATTTCTCTTTCAAACAGTCCAATTTGACAAATCAACTGATGTTTCTATCATATGCACTTATAAGACAAGAGTAGGTCTATTTGTATTATCCTCACTCCATCTCTGTGTCCTTGTACCTATGGATGTAGTGAAGAATTTTTAGTGAAAAAAAAAATAAAAATCCCTCCTCTTTTTTTTTCTGCTTCAGATAATTTTACATTCAATGCATAAGTACCAGCCTCGTGTTCACGTCATCCGCAAGGATTTCAGCAGTGATCTTTCTCCGACGAAGCCAGTTCCCTCAGGAGACGGGGTGAAAACCTTCAACTTCCCTGAGACTGTCTTTACCACAGTGACAGCCTACCAGAATCAACAGGTAAAGCTGTGTGCCTTCAAGATTCTTGTATGTGGGATGTTCATATAAGCATTGGTATGCTTTCTGTGTTTGTGAGTCATTAACTTCTCCAAGAAATATGGCTAAATAAATGTGTCCAGTTTACAAGCTCACTGCACTTTTCTGTACAAAAATAAAATGCTTGCTGTGAGGTAGCCAATAGACACAAGGTATCTACCCAGACATCCATCCTGGAGATAAGATGCCTGTCACTTTTACTGTAAAATAACTAGATGAGATAAGCCACAGAGGTATGCATTTTGTTCACTTTTCCTTGCCACCTTGTGGTTCAAACTCCAATCTCCTGTCCAGACTGCAATTTTGAAGCAGTGCAACCACTTCAGATCCATTATTTCACAGAGAAAACTTTATTTTTCACAACTGTGAAGGTAGAAGCTTCTAAGAAAAGGAACATCAGCAGTTTGCTGACAAAAGAAACCTTTGAGTATGAGCAACAGCAGTCTATTTATTGCACACTAAATAAAATTCTCATGCATAATTCACATTTGATTCTGATCCTGTAATTTCCACACTAGAGAATTACTACTGAATCTAGATATAAGGAAAATGTATTGTTGCAGTGGGATTCTTTCTGCAGAAGCGTTGACTGCAGGAACTCTGTGACAGATCTGCCCTTTTTCTTGAACTAGACTTCTTGGCAGCCAAAATTGTAAATGTAGTCCATACTAGTATTTGATTACAGAATTTCATATTTTCTCAAAATATAAGATATCTTTAAGAGGAAAACAATTATTAGGAAAACATGAGCATTTGAAAAAAATATGCATTTGAGGCTGTAGCAAATCATGAAGTTTTGGAAAGGGCTGGCCTGTGGACTCCACAAGTTTGCTGCCTTTTCTCCCTCATTGTCCTCTTGAAATGAGGTGTCCAAGCTTTTGAAGGAGGAGGTTGTCTGCTTCATTGCTTCTGCAGGTATGGTCACTGTAGATGCTGAGAGCTCCTTATACCCATCCATTCCCTTTGCACTTTTCTCATGTGTTGCTTATTTGTCAGCCACCTTTGCCTCAGCCATTCCCCCAGTCTTCACACCACCTGTGCCCTGCTTTAGGCTCTGCATGCTCAGCTTGTTCATGTACACGTACTCTTTGTCTTATTCTCAGATGAGATGTACACCTCATTTCCTATTCCTGCCATACTCTTCCTTGGCAGGGGGGGAACAGGGAGGGTGGCATTGTTGTGATGGCATTAAAAATTCAGCATAAGGTAATTTTTTCCCAGCAATGACAAACAAAATCTCAGTTGATTATGCTTTTTGCTGTGTAAATGATGAGATTTGAGAGTACAAATAATAAGATTTGAGATTTGAGCTGAGAGGACAAGGAACCATCACAGGATGGAATGATGGCACAAGCAACTTTAGAAGAAAAATAATCTGTTATAAAGCCTGTTGGGAGAATAATTCACACAATTTTCTTCCATAAATTCCATAGGAAGCTTGAATCAGAAATGGTAAGGCAAACATCTCTCTGTGCTGCCATCTGAACTTTTGGAAAGTGACCTCATGAACTCATTGGACAGCAGTGTACTTAGTACTCTTGGACAGAGTCATTCAGCTCACAATTAGCCAGCAAATTTTTACAAAGTTTTTGTTTTGTAACATATAAGAGCAGTGTTCCTGTGACTGCTTTTACCTATTCCTAATTTTTTCTTAGTCCAATCCCCTCAAATTGGCTTCAGACAGGATCCAAAATGGAATAAACTATTCCAGCAGAGAAAAAAACACAAACATTTCACTACCATGGTGGATTCACTACCACTGTAGCACTTGTAATTTTCTACTCTTCCTCTCACAGCTGTATACTTGTACTCAATACACTTTAATTGTAGACCAAACACAGGAAAAAGATAGAGGAAGAAGAAGAAATGAGAAGAAATGACAGGTTTTCAAATGTTGTCATTTTTTTCTGATGATCAGATGTATAAGACACAGTCTGCAAGAGGGAAAGGAGGAACTCTGTAAGCCACTTTACTGTAAAGAAAGCATTGAAATTTCTTCCTATCGTCTCTGAATTCCAAATATTTGTGTTTTATTTTTTCAGAAACATTTTTTGGGGTATTTTTCTAGCAGCAGTAAAGGAGATACTGGTGGAATGAAAAAGCTTTTTTATTAAAAATAAATTTAAATCCACTGAATCTATGCACTTGCCCTCCAGTGGCTGTAAAACTTTGCCTTACTGGGAGAAGCGTCTCTGGAAACAGTTGTAAAATGTTAGCAGAGCCACCACCACAGGGATTCCCTCTACTGTAACTCCATACTCCACAGAACATTTCTGTCTCTGTACGCACAAGTCCCAGGACAGCTGCAAAATCAGCCTAGCGGAAATTAAGTTCACAAATTAAGCTTCTGCAAAAATAGGAACTACATTCCATATCTGAAGCTAATATCCAGAAGTAAGGGCTTGATTCTGACAGAAGAAAGACACCTGCAAGCCCATTTTAGGTCAGTCTATATTAAACTAGTCCCTTTTGGGCAGTTTCAGCAAAAGCACCTCAAATTCAGCAGGATCTTCTGGAGGTCTTTCTTTTCAGAGCCAGCGTGTATGGAACAAAGTGAGGTTGACCCAGGGAAGCTCTTGTGCTGTACCAGGTTAGAAGCATGATACCACTGAATGCAAAGTTAGTATATCAATATTGTTTTCCATTCTTGACAACACGGAAATTCTGTGAAGGAAGGAAGGAAGAAAGGAAGGAAGGAAGGAAGGAAGGAAGGAAGGAAGGAAGGAAGGAAGGAACTA